ATTAGTTCCCAAAGACCCCATATCCTAATACCATCACATTGAGGGTTAAGGCTTCAGCATATGCATTTTGGGGGAAACACAATGCCGTCCACAGCACTATCCTTTCTGGGGTCACCATTGTGTCAAAAACCACTTGCAGTGCCTCAGTGTGTCCCATTTGCTCTTGGAATGAAAAGAATCTGAATGTACTCGAAGGTTCTTTAGGGGACCCACTGTTGGACGATGGTGTAGGAAGGGCCTGGCCTATCACAGCCATTACACTGGCAGACTTCCTGGCATGCATGACAGACCTGCCTGGTCCATCGTGGCAGGGAGACAGTCAGAATGACGTGGGTTTACTTCCTGTCTCTAGGACTTCACAGTCAAAGTTCACGAACATTCCTTTTAATCTAAGCTCATGATGGGCGACCTTTGTTTTCTCTTCTGCTAATGCCCATTTGTGGGCTGTGTTCAGATTTAAATTGATGATGCCTATGAGGAGCTGCATGCTATGGCTGGCATGTAGCAGGAGCTTGATAAGTGGCCGGGATGGTACCCCCAACAAGATGTGGCCCAGCCCTTCCTGGCAGTCTTCTAGGTAGTGGCTCAGTTAGTGGATTGAGGTGAAATCAAACTGTGTTCCAGCTCCAGCCCACTCGCTTTCTCTGCCATGGAGGGACATGTTAGTCATCATTTGGCAGTGAAGAGGCCCCATCCTTGAACCCCCTCAGCCTATCCTGACTGCAATTCCCAGCCCCCAGGGAGCTCTGACCATGGCCTCCAGAGGCTACTGCCGGGCATCATTGGGCGTGTTGTGCTCATGACCTCATGTACCTGACATAGCTGTCCTTCTCCTCCAGACGAATGAGAAAGGAGAGAGGGAGCTTTCCCAAACAAACAGTGCAAGGTGTGTATAGATTTAGAGATTTTGTTAGGTGTCCTCCCCTTTGTTTTATTTCCTTGCCACTGTTTTCTTTGGTCTTTCTCAGAACAAATAGACTTCTCTGGGTCCTGTCTGCTGAGGTGGGCTGGAGGCCAGGGTGCTCACTGGGCAGTGAAGGCAGTGAGAGGACACTTGGCCCTGCTCCCTTGTGATAGGTTAGTGCCCTACTTCATTCAGTTTCTGCATCCCTGTCTTAGTGAATCCATCCCCTCCTCCCTGCCTCCTCTTGCAAGCAACCCCTCACCCGGTCCCCACCAAGCAGTTAATGGGCTTTCATCCATCTGGAGTCTCAGGCTAAAAACTCAGGTGTCACCTAGAGTCCTCTCTTGCCTTCTTCTCCCAAATCCAACCCATCAGCTCTGTCTTCAGAATCTACCTTGAATACCCTTGCTTCTCACCAACGTAGTCTGGCCACTGCTCACTGGCTTACCTCAGTGGTTGCTTGGTGGGCACCTCCTTTCTGCTGGCTGGGCTGGGGTCTGTGCTCCTCACAGGAGGCACCTGCTGAAAGCTTGTGTCAGGTGAGAGAGTCATTTGCTTGGAACCCTCAGGTGCTTCCCCTGCATTGGCCCCATTGGGTCAGATTATCTGCCTTTCAGAGAATGTGGCTTTGGCAACACACTGAACAGCACTTAGGGGAAAATTCTCACATTTTAAGTGACTGTGTGGATTGGGGTCACTCAGATACCACCTCTGTTAACTACTGCAGTTTCTGCAAACCTACAAATTTCATTCACCAGCCCACTGCTCCTACTAATGACATTTAATGAATGGAAGTTTTCAAAATGTGGATAAAATATTCTCCCCAACTCCCCTTTCTAAAGAGGAGGAAGGATTTAAAATCTAGAGAAGGAATATATTTGTAAAGAATGCATTAGCCACCAACTAGAGAGATTTAGGGGTGGAGAATTCAACCTGTTTTAGTTTTAGAAAAATGCTTTTTTTAACTTGATTTCCAAGATGATTTATGGGGAAAAAAATTACTATTTAGATTGATTGCATCTTCCTGGGTTGGAATTAGTAATGTGATTTTCCGTGTCGTGATGATTCTGAGGATGCTTTATGATTCTCCAAATGAAAGCACTTCATATGTCAGATGTGATTAATGAAATCGTCTGTCATGATGTCAGAGCTGTTAAAGTTGGTAAAGTGCCCTTTCAGACAGTTAGTGTCAGGCCAATCACACACGTGGAGTGTGGGGACTGGTTCTTGCCAGAGGCTGGTGACAGTTCTTGGGTGGGAGCATCTGAAGATTCCATTCCTGCCATTTCCCTTCCTGCAGGGTCTTCCTTGGGGTTACTGTGCCCACTAAAGCTCATTCAACTGTAATGACCCCAGGGAAAAAGGGTATACCTATTGGCTGTTGTAACTGAAGAGTCCAGAGTGCAGCAGGTGTGGATATGTGGGACCTGGTCTCTCTCATGTCTCTGCTTTGTCTCCTTCTCCCTACCGTGACTTCATGTGTTGGTTTCATACACCAGCTCTCATGATGGCAAGAGCAGCCAGCAGCACTAGGCCTCCATGCTTCCAGATTCCACTGCAATGAAAAAGAGAGAGCTTCTTTTGCCTACTAGCTCACCCATGTGTCCCAGAGGATGCTATGGTTGGACCCACCCAGAGCATAGGTCTATGCTGAAGCCATCCCCTGTGGCCAGGATATTATAGATATTATGCAGATCGGCCAGTCCTGGTCCTAGGCTCATCCTAGAGTTGGGGGTGGAGGTCAACATCAGCCACAAACCACTTGGACTGACTGTGGGAGAGGAGGGCTCCCCAGAGGAAAGCCGGGGTCGGGTGGCTGGGCAGAGGAAGGCATGCTAACCTGCAGACACAGCCAGTGTCTATACACTTGAGCTCTTCTGTCTTTGTCATCAGTCCCCTACTCCCCTCAAATGGCCCCACTCCAGCTACCCTTCCTTTTCATCTTCCTCCTCATCTTTCTCCTCCTCCACTGCCTCCTTGCCAGCAACACTTTTCCAGGGTTTATAAAAGACCAGAGTACTTGACAGTTGACGGTCACTGAATTCTCGCAGCAACCTTATGAAGTGCTATTAGGCATTAGGCAGCTTGGGTCTGGACCCCAGCCCTGCTCACCATCTCAGGGTACAGCCTTGGACAGGTCACTCCTCTCTCTGAACCTCAGTGTCCTTGTCTGTCAAGTGGGGGTGATGAGGTGTTTTTCCCATTGTGGTTGTGAGAATCACAACCTTGTGATTGTGCGTATGAAGCTCAGTGCTTAGAAGGGTGACTGTTCAGTACGTGGGAGCACTCATCACTCACTGCATTTGTCAGATGTGGAAACTGAGGATTGCCATTTGTTGAAGGTTCCTCAGCCAGCGGGTAGCTGAGGGGGGCTTTGAGCCCAGGCTGTCTCATCCCCGGCTGAGTGACTGCTCATTATGCAGCATCGCGTTTTTCATCCGCTTTCCTGTTTGCTGACTGTTTCTCATGGTAGGGCTCACCTCTGCAGACTGGGCCAGTGCCTGGGATCAGTGCACAAAACTTTGTTACACATCTTCTACGTATGAGGCACTAAGCTAGGCCCTGAGCAGATGAGGCAGACTGAACGTTCAGAAGTGTCTTTTGAGAGAAAAGCAAAACTGGAGGTATCACAATTCCAGATTTCAAGTTATATTACAAAGTTGTAGTAATTAAAACTGTATGTGTTACTGGCATAAAAACGGAGATGTAGATCAATGGAATAGAACAGAAAACCCAGAAATAAACCCACAATTATATGGTCAATTAATCTTTGACAAAGGAAGAATGAATATACAATGGGAAAAAGACAATCTCTTCAACAAATGGTGTTGGGAAAACTAGACAGCCACATGTAGAAGAATGAAACTGGACCACTTTAACCATACACAAAAATAAACTCAAAATGGATTGAAGAACATAAATGTGAGACATGAAACCATAAAAATACTAGAAGACAGCACAGGCAGTAATCTTTCTGACCTTGGCTGTGGCAACATTTTTCTCGATATGTCTCCTGAGGCAAGGCACATAAAAGAAAAAATAAATTACTGGGACTACATCAAAACAAAATGTTTCTGCACAGTGAAAGAAACAATTAACAAAACTAAAGTCAACCTACTGAATGGGAAAATATATTTGTACATGACATATTCAATAAAGGATTAATATTCAAAATATATAAAGAACTAATACAACTCAATACCCCCAAAACAAATAATTCAATTCAAAAATGGGCAGAGACATGAACAGACATTTCTCCAAAGAAGACACACAGATAGCCAGCAGGCACATGAAAAGGTGCTCAATATCACTCATCATCAGGGAAATGCAAATCAAAACTACAATGAGATATCACTTCACACCTGTCAGAATGGCTAAAATAAAAAACACAAGAAAACAGGTGTCAGCGAGGATGTGGAGAAAAAGGAACCCTCGTGCACTGCTGGTGGGGATGTGAACTGGTGCAGTCACTGTGAGAAACGGTATAGTTTTCTCAAAAAGTTAAAAATAGAAACTACCCTACAATCTAGTAATTGCACTACTGGGTATTTACCCCCAAAATACAAAAACACTAATTCGAAGGGATACTTACACCTCTATGTTTATAGCAGCATTATCTACAATAGCCAAACTATGGAAGCAGCCCAAGAGTCCATCGACTGATGAATGGATAAAGACAATGTGGTGTATATATGCAATGGAATATCACTCAGCCATAAAAAAGAATGAAATCTTGCCATTTGCAACAACATAGATGGAGCTAAAGAGTACAATGCTAAGCAAAATAAGTCAGTCAGAGAAAGACAAATACCATATGATTTCACTCATATGTGGAATTTAAGAAACAAAACAAATGAGCAAAGGCAAAAAAAGAGAGAGACAAACTAAGAAACAGACTCTTAACTATAGAGAACAAACTGATGGTTACCGAGAGGTGGGTGAGGGGATAGGGGAAACGGGATGGGGATTAAAGAGTGCTCTTATCATGATGAAATAAAATGAAAAAAAAAAAAAGTAATTTGGTGGGCTGAACTGGATGAAGGACTGATGCTTTGTGGTATTGGGGTGGCCTGTCCAAGAGAGACAACCATGAGCTATGCCTGCAGAAAGGTACTAGAGCATCCCAGGCAATAAAGGGGAAGGGCATGGATGCTTTGCCACTTGTGAGGCTTATGTAAAGCTTGATGACCTGAACAAATTCTCCTTGAATGGAGTTTGGCCAGGGGTTTAGTTGTCATTAAATTGTTGACTCTCGCTGACAATGGTCTATATTGTCCTTGCTTTCAGTGTGGAATAATTTATTGGCTATTTGGTGGTGCTGTCAGGAACCTTGGAAGCCCAGAACATGTCACTAAGTGGCTTCAGCCACTCCAGGTATGGCAGGTACCTCAAGAGATGTCTTCTTCTATGGAGAGCCTTAATTCATACTAACTAGATGTGTACGTGTGTGCATGTTTGCAGAGAAAGAAAATGAACCAGAGAATTAGTGTCAGCGAGAATCTTGTTCAGAATGAGAATTTCAAGACTATTTTTTAAAAGAATTGTCATGTTGTTATCACATTAGCCGTTACCAGGCTGAACTCTTACAATTATCTCCACCTCACTGCTCCCTCTCTCACCCACATCCTTGATGATCAGAGGTCTGCAGTTAGAGCAAGCATCGACGAGCTAATTCCCTTCTAACATTTGGTAAACTCCAGGAGCAGAAATACACTGGGATGTTTGCAATGACCGAGAGGGGCCATGGGAGCAACGTGAGAGGGATCCAGACCGAAGCCACCTTTGACCTCTCTGCACAGGTGAGCATTCTGCCCATCATTTCACAGTGCAGGGCGGCAGGAAACCTGTTGAGGACCAGACTCTCCTTCTTCCTGAGGCCAACCTCACATCTTCTGCGTGTGCTCTCTGGCCTGAGGCACTCAGATTTAGAACAATTGCCCAAGTGCTTTAGTGGAGGGGGACATATGCTCAGCCTTCATGTGTCTAATGACAGACAACACTTTCTCAGCTCCTACCATGTGCCGGCACTGCTTTGCGCACTTTACCTGCTCTTTTAATTGGACGCCTTGTGACAACTCTGTGAGAACAGTACCAGCGCCATTTTGTCATCCTTCCCAGCCGCAATGGGTAAATGACTGGAAGAGATGCTTTTGTTTGTATTCCCTTTGCACCGTGTGGCAGGAGGGCACCATGTGTGCTGGTGTTTCCTTACCAGGAACCAAGCCCTCGTTACTGGCAGGAAGCAGTGTCTTTAACTGTGACCGACACAAAAATTCACATGGCAACCCAAACAGAATTTCACAAAACAATCTTGCTTTTACTATCGTTAGTATATGTGGTGAACTTCATTAGTTTGCTTTCCATTCTCATTAATAAAAAACAGTTCGTCAAGACACTCTAAATTGATCCCTCTCCACGAATGCGTCACAGCCCGCAGGGCGAAAACCCTGCTCTATAAATCTAAAGAAGTCTCTATTTCTTTAGCTCCTACTCCCTCCGAATAAAGAAACTATTTACTTCTTTCACTCTCCTTCATAGTTCCTTGTTTGATATTGGGTTTTCCTAAGAATGACAAAGGAATACATACATTTTGAAGTTCTTTCTAGACATGGGTTTGGGTAAATATATGTGTGCAAGCATGGGGCAGGAGTGTAGGTGTGGCTACTCAGTCTATTCTTCATTTTTGCTGAGTTTGTCCTTTAGAATCTGAACTTTGGTTAGCAGGTTTTCCTGCCCCACAAGTGCTAGTTAGAGGTGATCAGGGTTTAGAATGACAGATTCAAGCGAGGGTTGTATTGGAATATGTTCATCCTGTCCTTCTGCCCAGATGCTAGTTCTCTACAATAGTCAGTGATGTCCAAGGTCATACATAGCAAGAATAAGGACTGAACTGAATGTTCACTATGTGCCAGGCTCTGTATCGAACACCTTCTCTATACTTCACCGTATTCCCTCGCAATAACCATCCCATAACATGACGGTAAGCCACTTCTGGTAATTTAGCACGTATGTGTTAGACATCAGGCTAAGCACTCTACGTGTAACATTGTGTTAAATATCCTATAGTTTTCTAGGAAGATACTATTGTCCCTATTTAATAGGTGGAGAAACTGAGGCTCACAGAGGTTAGGAAACTGACTCTGAATCTGCAGTTAATGAGCGAGTCTGCTTCAAGTGGGACTGCCCCTAAGAGCTTAGCTTTCCTGCCAATGGTGACGTGCCAACCAAGCATCTCTTGAGTGTTTGGTTGGTCAGTTTTTTCTTTCCCTAAACCAAGTGAGGTCACCTTGCTCTCATTAAAGGGGAAAAAAGAAACCCCACCCAGAATTCTTATTTATTTTTTTCTTCTTACAGTTATTATTTTTTCCCACAAAAATCATTTCCCTGGGCGGGTCCCATTTTCCCTAAACAGCATAAATGATTTAGCTACCTGACGTGCTTCGGCAGCTGTTGCCTTCTGCAGGGGAGTTACAAAGCTGAAATCATAATGATGAGGAGACTCCGGTGAACGCTCGTTCTCCGGTGGGAGTGAGAGGGAGAATAAGCCCATCATAAACTCAGGCCATTGAGGACTGACATAACGGGGAATGGATTTCTCCTTCATTGCTTTCTGTGTTTCCCCCTTCATTTCCCTTTTAAAATGGGAGAGCATATCAAATGAGCCCTCTCTCCCTCAAGGACTGTTTCAATCTCTTACATGTTTTGGTTATTCATTTCTGTGGGTTGGCTGTTTTATTTTTATTTTTGGACAGTGGCTTGGGTAGTGGTAGGTATAATTAAGAGGTAAGAGAGAATTTTAGTTTTACAGTTTATGCTAAATAGCCAAAATAAATGAGGCTACGAGCTCTTTGGGCAAAGCCTTTTTTTTTCTTTTTTTTTTTTAGTGCTTACAGTACTGACCATTTTGTTGGCCTTCAACAACTAATTATGGTAGGAACCGACACACATGGTGTGCATTATTTAGATCACACTTTAATGCCAGCATTTTGGCTTGTGCAGACTTTCCCAAATCAAGGTTTTTCCCAGAAGTGACAAACCTTCTTTCCCAGAGTGTATCAGATGTTTACAGGGATGGACGGTCTCCTGTCTCTTCCCCATCCCACCAGATCTTTGCTGCCAGGTCAATGTTACTCTGCTACTTCCCTTCCTAGCCTCGAGGGGTAAACGTCCCTTCACCACACAGGGTTTTTTTTGTGTGTGGTGTTTTTGTTGTGGTTATTACTGCACCCAGCCTCAAATAATTCCTTTCTTTGAGCAATCCTGGCTGGCCTGATAAGACAAGGGCAGTCTCCAGAGACTTCTCTTAAAAAGATTTAACTTGTCCATTTATGTTTCTGAAAAGCGCTTGCACATGTTAAAAGTTTCCTTGTGCAAACACATGTCAGAGAATGTTTTCTTAGGCTTCAAGAATGTATTTCTTGGCCAGTGGGAAAGTGTAGTCTATAGACTTTAAAATCTGAACTCTGAGATAATCTTTACATGATCATTTGCTTGCTGGTTTAGTTCAGCGACCTCTTCGATATTGTCAGCTCCAATTAGATGTGCAGTTCTGCTCTTTTGCCATTTCCCCTGGATTCCCTGACCTGCCCCAGGGACCCTGTATTCAGAGCTGGCAGTTACTGTCAGTACCTCCTTGACAAGAGGTTTCAGGGTAAGCCGGGTGACGAGCTGAATCAGAAGCGAAGACGGGAGCATTTCCATTGTGATTCTGCACTGGCTTCCCAAGAGGAGGAGAAAGAAGACCCAGGTTAAGCAGAGCCTGAAAACAAAAACCCTGCATCTTCTTCTTGACCAATGTTAATTTCAGACTGTTTGGAGCTGGAATCCTTGGTCATATGATGGAGACAAACTGGGTGGCATATTCTAAGATTCTTTCCCCTATAAGATAGAGAATTATTTACAAATGCTTCAATTTAAGGGCTTATGCATTTGGGGGGAACTTTTAATTATTCTATTCATCGATCAAGAAAATGGAGTGGCAGGATCTGAACCAATCATCCAAAGGCTCAAATGGTTTTTTTACCTTTTATAAAAATCAAGATTGTGTGGGCTGAGATTCTAAGCAATGGTGGGAATAGGTCATGGGTGCCTACTAATCTTGCTTGCATTTCCGGCATACAGTTTGGGCCTTCAGTTAGTTGCCATTTAAACAACAGAGCCATATCAATGAGGCAGAGATTTTCAAGGCCTGGGCGAGAGTGGAGGGCATGAGGAACCAAATGATTTGTCCAGAAGGCGCAATGCCCAGCAGACAAGATAAAACACACAGACGTGGACTCATCCACCTAGGGGCCCCAGATCCTTAGATGTGTCATCCTTTTTTGTGTGAACCTTGCCGGTGGGGTGTTTGGGAGTGAGAGCTGAGTATATTATCCCCAGGGGCTTGGGGGTCTTGTCTTCTCTTCTACCGTGAAATCACCTGATTGCGTCCTGCTAGAGGATGTGGATCTGTTTCACAATAATCATTGTACTGAGCCAAGGAGTCGAGAGGAGCCATAGGGAAGGAAAACTCTGTCGCTCTTTTTCTGTGTAGGAGTTTGTGATCAACACGCCATGTGAAAATGCTGAGAAGATGTACATTGGAAATGCGATGTATGGGAATTATGCCGCGGTCTTCGCTCAACTCATCGTAAACGGAAGATCGCAAGGTTTGTGCTGGTGCAGAGAGCTAGAATAATTCTCTTTACTCTTACTACTTTCCAGCAAGCACTTTACCTTGAAAGTGCACTTCACAGCACTGGTTTTATCTTGTATAAACTCAGTGCCAACTTTATTTCTTCAGTATACACGGTGACTGAATTTATTATGACAGTTTGGCATTACAGTCATCCCCTCCCCCCTTACGTGCAGTTTTGCTTTCCACGGTTTCAGCTACCTGCTGTGCGCTGCAGTCTGGAAGCAGATGATGGTCAGAGGGTTGGTACTAGTGTCACACCCTGTCACAGCACCTACCTCATTCTTGCTCCTCCTCTCATCATGTAGGAAGGAAAACACATGGCATGTATAGGGCTCAGTACTTTCTATGGTTTCAGGCATTCACCCCGGGCTTGGAATGTATCCCCTGTGGACACGGGAGGACTACAGTATACACTGTTATATGCAGTGCCCAGGGCTAGAACTGACTGAATTTCAGGATCAACACACTTTGTAGACTGTTCCAGGAAATGAATAAAGCTTTATTTTATTTATTTATTTATTTTTAAGATTATTTATTTATTTATTTATTTGAGACAGAGAGAATGAGAGAGAGGGAGCACATGAGAGGGGTGAGGGTCAGAGGGAGAAGCAGACTCCTCGCTGAGCAGGGAGCCTGATGCGGGACTCGATCCTGGGACTCCAGGATCATGACCTGAGCCGAAGGCAGTCGCTTAACCAACTGAGCCACCCAGGCGCCCAATGAATAAAGCTTTAATCGTAGCTTTAGAAAAGAGAGTTTAGCTACTGTCTCTCTGCCTTCCTCAGGGCCCCACTGTTTCATTGTTCCCATCCGCGATGAAAACGGAAGCTTGTACCCAGGAGTGACAGCTATTGATATGATGTACAAGGAAGGTGAGTCCCCAGGTGACACCACTTCTACCCTCATTTGCACTTCCTGTGCGCTCCCTGCCCCATCCAAGGAGGGTCTAACCTAACTCACCAAGACAGTGAAGGCAGAGATTCTTTGATTTTGAAGCCTGATGAAAGTCTTTTATGTCACAACTGTTGGGGAATGTTGAAGATTGCCATTTATGAATATGCATTGGTCTTATTTTCTCCCAGCCTCTCGTATTTTCCAGTTGTGGGGCAGCTTTGCCCTGAGTAATTTCGCCTCCTCTCCTCTTCTTGGACTTGTGGGCTCTCACACGGCAGGTTGAGGCTCTCTTTTTCCTGCCCCTGAGCCACAGCCTGGTGTTGGTGCCTAGGAGGCCCTTGATGAATCCCGAGGACTGGCTCGGGGGACGAGTTTGCTGTTGTAACCCAGGCTGAGCGGCTTAAACAACAGAAATGTATTGGCTCATGGTTCTGGAGGCTATACGTCCAAGATCAAGGTGATGGCAGGGTTGGTTCCTTCTGAGGGTTGTGAGGGAGAATCTGTGCCAAGCCTCTCTCCTTAGCTTGTAGATGGTGTCTTCATGCTTGCATGGCGTTCTCCCTCCTTGTGTGCATGTCTGTGTCTAAATTTCCCCTTTTTATAAGGACACCAGTCCTTTGGATTAGGGCAACCCTAATGACCTCTTTTAATTTGATTATCTCTGTAAAGACCCTGTCTACAAATAAGGTCACATCCATAAGTACTTGGGTTTAGAACTCAAACGTGTGAATTTTTGGGGGGTGCAATTCGACCTATAACAATTGGTGAGAGCAGGCCATACCTGTGGGCCCCACTGGTTGTCCCCAGCCAAGGCCAAACCAAGCCAAAGAAACAGGTGGGAGAAGAAGGAAAAAGAAACAAGAAAAAAGGGGGAAGAAGATGATTCTTTGGTGGAGGGGATCGTCTCACCTCGGCCCTCAGTGTTTACCGACCACTGCCACAGCTGCGGGAATGGGCTGCAGGTGGGGTTGTGAGTGCTCTAACTGTATCTGAGGCCCTCGCTGGCCTTGTCCCTTGAAAGCACCCATCGAGTCAAGTGTTGATGAGAGCAGAGGGCCCAGCTCTTGTGAAGTGGTGCCAGACATTTAAAACACTGGCAACTTCAGAAAGTCTGCTTTGATTTCTTGTAAGCTCCTAAATGCAACTGTATCCTTGTTAAGGGGTGATGTTCCAAATAAAGACGTTTACTAAAGATTTTTTTTTTTTCCCTCAGCTCAAATCTTCCCAAGTGTGAGATAAACAAAAAGTAGACCCCAGACTCTGACAGGCGTCATTAGGAAACAGGTCCGGCGGTTTTCAGGAACCTTCTGGGGAGTCGGGTCACTGACCCCAGTCACTCACAGCTGTCCTTGTCTTTTTAGGCATTTGACTTAACTACCCCTTGTTCTCGGAAGGAAGCCCTGGGAGGGAGGAGAAATTTGACTTCTGTATTACTGGGGGAGTAAGTGGCTTTCTTGCCTCCTCTGCGTTTGCCCTGGCATTCCTTCTGATGCCTAGAGCTCCTCCTTTCCAAGTCGCAGCACCCAGATCCTCCACCTAAGCCCAGGAGCACAGAAGGCTCAGCTCTTCGAGAAGACCGACAGAGAGCGTCCCTGCCCCCACCCCATCTAGAGAAGCATCAGCCATCCTGGGAGTAAAGGGAAGGGTTTGGGATTTTAGTGGAGAAGTAGCAGGAAAGTAGTTCTGATGCTAGCACGGATTTGTCCCCTGCAGCTGTTTTCTGCTCTCTCTAGGTCTGCACGGTGTGGATAATGGGATTTTAATATTTCACAAGGTTCGGATACCAAGGGAGAACCTGCTGGATAAGTGAGTACTTTTCACTTTAACTCAGATTGGCTGTGCGTATGATCTCATTGTTCTCCCAAGCTAGGCCTGGCGCCTGGGTCTCATGGGCTGCACGTCCAGGCTGTCTGCCAGCCCCTCCTACAAGTTTATTGACCATCCATTGGAAAACGTAGATAAGAAAACAGAAAAAAATTAAAATTATCCAAAATGCTATTACCCAGACATAATGATTGTTATGCACACTTGAATGTGTAACTCTCTATAGACTTTTTTTCCATGCTGGTATATCAACAGAGTGAGGTGTGTTTGATTTTTACTGAATGAGAGCCACTTGTAAATTCTATTTTTTACAACTCATAATTTCTGTTTAACATATGTCAGATGTTTTTATGCAACAGGAAATACCTATATACATTTTCATTTTCAAATATGGCCATAGTAGACAAATAAATGATCTATAATTTATGTAATCTATCCTTATTGTTGGGCAATTTAGATTGTTTCCTTAAATTTTTTTTTTGTTGTTGCTATTACACACCAGGTAGTGTTCTTGCCTCCTTTGTGGGTGGCAGGAGGTAAGATACCACCTTTCGGCTTAGGAGGCTCTTGTAACCAGTGCTGCTTGGATGGATGGATAATGTCAGAGGTGCTCAGTGTCATTTCCCAGCATCCCACTGACGTCAGGGTGGGTTAAACGATGAGGAGAAGGCTGCTTCTTCAGGGGCATTTTAGGGGTGGAGCTCTGGGGGTTCACATTACACTTTGCAGAGGCCAAGAAACACCAATTACTGTGACTTTTCTCAACAGCATTTCATGTATCCAATAAAAATCCTGACCTATATGCATATTGAAATCTGTGAAAAAGCTAGCAATCAAGCTCTGCATAATCAGCTTTACTATAGATTTTCCTTTAACACTTCATTCCTTTTCTTTGCCTGCACACTCTTGCCAGCAGATAAATGTCATAGATGCCAAAAGTTTAAGAAAAATATGTGGGAAACAAATTCTGTTAACCAACCCCCTGCTCCCCAGGGAATTGGTAGGAAATAAAATGGAAATGTCGAAAGCATCTTTGCAGTTATCCTGGTGTGTGGGGAAGCCTTTAGGTCCCCTCAGGAGCCACCAGTGCCCATGACAGCAGGTCTGAGCACCATCAGCCTTCCCCAGAGGTGCCTGCACATTTTCCAGTCACTTAGCTGCAGCACTACACTCTGGGAGATGAGGAAGAGGGAAGGAAAGCTATAGATGTAGAGCTCCCCATGTGTCCCACCTTCATGAGATCTCAGTGGCCTGGCCAGTCTGCCAGAAGCTGGATCCATTGGCTCATTCTTCATCCAATGCAGATTAGAGATTAGAAAGTTAGATCCAGCCAGAAAAAAAAGTGATAGTGAGCTACATGGATAGGAGAATATATGGATTTTTTTTTGATAAGCAGGGTTTTATTTTGAACCATTCTATTGGCACTTAAACTGCCCCCAATATGCCAGAGAACAGCAGTGGAAACACAGGCATTTTGAAGGAGGAGCCCCATTTTGGGGGTGTTGATAAAAAGTGGATCAGTAAATAGATGTTCAGATTCATTGCAATCCCTGTCAAAATCCCAGTTGCTCCCCCCCCCTTTTTTTTTGCAGAAATTGAGAAACTGATCTTAAAATTTATATGGCAACACAAGAGAGTCAGAATAGCCAAAACAATCTCGCTAAAGAAGAACAAAGTAGGAGACTCACACTTCTGATCCGAAAATTTACTACAAATTTACAGTAGTTGAGACGGTGTGGCAGTATAGTGGATCCCCTTGAAAGCTGGTGGGAAGTAAAAAAGAAAAAAAAAGGGAAAAACCCACTGTGGTATTGGCATAAGGATAAATAGGTAGGCAATGAAACAGAATGGAGAGTCTAGGAATAAATTCTTACATTTATGGTAAATTAATTTTCAACAAGGATAAGAAGACTATTTAATGGGGGAAAGAGTAATCTTTTCAACAAATGGTGCTGGGACAACTGGACATCCACATGCAAAAGCATAAAATTGGACTCTTATCCCATATACAAAAATGAACTCAAAATGGATCACAGATAAAATGTAAGGGCCCAAACTGTAAAGCTCTTAGAAGAAAGCATAGGTGTGAATCTTTGTGGCCTTGATTAAGTACCAAAAGCATAAGCAGCCAAAGAAAAAAAGAGATAAATTGGACTTCATCAAAATTAAAAAACTTTTGCACCTCAAAGGACACTATGAAAAAGTGAAAAGACAATGCACAGAAAGGAAGAAAATATTTGGAAATCACATATATTGTAATATGTATGATACATATATATCATCTATATCATTTGCAAATCATATATATATATATACATATATATATGCTATATATATATATAGCATCCAGAATATAAAAGGAACTATTACAGCTCAACAATTAAAAGACAAATGACCCAGTTGAAAAATGGGCAAAAATCTGAATAGACATTTCTTTGAAGAAGATATGCAAATGGCCAGTGAGCACATGAAAAGATGCTCAACATCATTTGTCATTAGGGAAATGCCAATCAAAACCACAATGAGATATCACTTCGCACCTGCTCAGATGGCTATAATAAAAGAGACAGACCATAATAACGGTTGGCGAGGATGTGGAGAAATTTAAACCCTCATACATTGTTGGGGATGAAAATGGTGTTGCTGATTTGCAAAAGAGTTTGGCACTTCTTCAAAAGTTTAAATTTTTCATATGAGCCAATTCTGCTCCTAGGTATGTGTGAAAACATTGTTCACAAGAGAATTGAAAACATGTCTACACTAAAATGTATACACAATTGTTCATAACATAATTATTCATAATAGCCATAAAAGGGGAAACAACCTAAATATCTATCAACTGATGAATGGATAAACAAAATATGTGTATCAGTACAATGACTTATCATTGGGCCATAAACAGGAATGAAGTACGGACATGCCACAACATGCATGAACCTTGAGAACAGTGAGCTGAGTAAAAGAAGGCACACGCAAAAGCCACATATTATATTTTTTCACTGATGGGAAACATCCAGAATAGACAAATCCATAGAGATAGAAAGTAGATTAATGGGTGCCAGGGCCTGGAGTATGATGAGTATGGGGAGTGACTGCTAATAGTATGAGGTTTCTTTTTGGGGTGATGAAATGTTTTGGAATTGGACAGTGGTAATGGTTGTACAAGTTTGTGAATGTCCTAAAAACCACTGAATTGCACATTTTAAAAGGGGGGATTTTATGGCATGTGAATTATATATCAACAACAAAAGAGTGGATTGATGTGTGGTCTTCACATTCAGGCTCCAGTGTTGGTTTAATGATGGTGGTCCTCATGCTTCTTTTTGCCAGGGGCCCCTGCTGAGTCACAGGTTGGTGGTGGCACAAAACCTGCTTTTACTTTCCATGAGTCAAGCCTTGGTCAGGATCTCCTGGGGAGACTCTTCCCCCATCCCCGACTCTGATGTCTCATGAGGGTAGTTCCTGGATCTGGAAACCCTGTGTGTGCATATGGCATCATTTCTAGTGGTGCCATGTTCTTCTTTTTTGTTAACCCTACTCCTCTTTTCCACCTGCCTCTTCTCTACCATAGGTTTGGTTCTGTGGCTCCAGATGGGCAGTACCATTCCCCTATTAAGAACAAGAGTGCAAGATTCAATGTGATGCTGGCAGCGCTGACCCCTTCGAGATTAGCTGTGACTTTCCAAGCTATGGGTGCCATGAAGGTAGTTGACTCTGATTTTAATTTATATCACGGTTTATTCTCTGCATGTTCCAGGGGTGGGTAACAATTTCAGGAGCTGAGCATCCTGAGCCACAGTTGGTATAATGTGGCTAGGGTTAATGGTTAGATACTATTAAGTGCCAGTTGGCCACACACAGAGAACATTTCTGCACCCTTCTTATCATGGGATCCTATCCATCTACATCTCAGATGTGCTGCTGATTATGGTGGGTGGAACATAGGCATTGTGGTAAAAGAGCCACAAAGGATGAACTTGGGGGGACGGGGTCATTCAGATCAAATGCCTCTGCTAGAAAAGCAGGGAAGGCCGGCGTGTCTCAGCTGAGTTCATTGGGGAGCTTTGATGGTCACATGGCTGTTTGGAGTATGGCATTCAGCATCACAAGTTGGAGTCCATGAAGCCAGATCCCTAGAAGGCATCTCTACCTCCCCTCCTCTCACACCTTCCCAAATACTGATTTGGAAAGAGCAGGCAGGAGAGGAAAGTTCTGGAAGGGCCTTCTCTTCCTTCTCTTCCTTCTCCTCCTCCTCTTCCTCCTCAAGGCTCAGCATTGTCTGTTCTCTGGGCCCTTTCCTTCTCTTTGCATGAGGGAAAAACCTGTTTTAAGCTCCACTGAGCTTGGTGAAGCTGGAAGAAAAATTAAGAAACCCATGAATATACATTGTGGCTCGAATCCAACTTTTCCATCAAGAAGGAATAAATTTCATTCACCTGACTCCAGGCCTCACATCAGCACACAGTTGTCTGATGAGCAGGAAAATTCTTCTTTACTCCTTTCCACCGGGTTGGTCCTGCTTCCCAGGAAGCCTGCCTGACAGGAGCTGCCCTGTGTTTTGCGTTTCCTGCCAGTTGGTACAGTTGTGCTGCTGTAAATACCCACGCTCAGTACGAAGCCAGAGACCTCATGCCCATGGGCACTGCGTCCTGCGGTTCTTAAAGGGTGTTGAGTTCGAAGTCCCGAATCAGGAACAGCTCAGCCGGTCGGTCCCCTTGGCTGAATCGTCTGACAAATGAATGAGGCCCCAGGGAAGCCTTATGATGAAGGCACAGAGGTGAGGCCAAGGCTCTTGCACAGGATTGGAGTGCTAAGGAAGGCTTCTTCTTCAAGTCCGTAATAGAAACCATTTCAGCCATTTGGGGACTCCAGAAAGAGGCAAAAGGAGAGAAGTCAGTGAGCTGAGAATTACACTGTAGAGAAGCTGGGACAAAAATCCGACCCAGGATTACCTGGTACCTTGATGGCAGTCTGCACAACAGCCCCTCTGCTGGCAGTGGCCTTGGGGGGCTTGGCGAACACGAAAGCCCCTGCTGGCTGCTGTGGCGTATGCAGGTGGTGCAGAAAGCCTGTGCTTGATGTCTCTGAGGGGGCGGTGGTGCGTGGAGGACGCCCACGCTGCCAGGAGGCCCATGAGCTCTTCCAGGCTTCTGGTGGAGTCCTGAGGGGCAGGCACAGGGTAGCAGAGGCAGGGAAGCAGCAGGGCCTTCTGGAAGAGACTAAGTTTTTCAGCATCACCAGATCTGGAGCCGGGAGGGTGGGGGAGAGAGACCATGGCTGATTTTTAAGAGGTCCTCGTTCTCCATTCTACCAAACATTGGCAACGTGAGGCCTTATCTTGATCATAGAACAGAGAACCGAGGGCTCAAATCTCAGCCAGGACTTGACCAGCAGTGGGGTCGTGGGCGAATCAGGAGGCCTCGTTAAGCCTCAGCTTCTTCGTCTGTACAATGGACCTTGCGATAATGGTGAGGCAGGAGTGAGTAGAGGTATGTGCGGCACTGGCCCAGAGCGAATGTTCCGTAGCTCAGAGCTGTTACTGATGTGATACCTGGGGTCACTGCTGCTGTTACTGGGAAGATAGGTGTTAGCTGTAAGACAGGAATAAGTGGGCTTTTATTGAAACACAGGCCACCCTGGCCTCCAGGTAACAAGGCAGTCCGAAAGGTTTTGCAGAAGTGCGCAGTTTCCTTTGGATTCCCGTGCCTCTGAAGCAAAACAGAGTGGCTGTGAGTCAGCACCTGCCCTGCCCAGGAGGCAGATTTGCCCAGTGACATGGAGATCCCATCGTGGAGCCTGTGAGCCCCGGGCGCTGCGTGGTGCGGGCACCGCCGATGAGGTCGGCCCTGATGGTCAGCGACCCTGGCCATTGTGATCTCATTGCGAACGTCTCGGGCGGGGATGATCTCACCAGCCCTCTTGGCATCTCCTCCTCTCCTATGGCTCAAACACATGACAGATGTTTTCTCGGCTGAAACCTAAGACGGGCCTGCTTGTTCTGTTCTCGCTGATGGGTGGAAAAATGGATCCTTTTCTCCTACGTGCATTCCTTATGTATTAGAAAACTGTCACCGCGGCTCCCCATGGTGACATTTGCTCAAGGCTGAGCATGCCTGGGCCTTTTAAACTTTGCCCAGATGTCTTATTTTTCATGGTTATCTCTCATTTCCATAGTTTCTCAGTACTTTCAGATTTTCTCTTAAAGTCTTGCCTTAATAGCCTTCCTCCAATTTGTGTCCAAAGCGTTGTGCCAGATTAAATGATTAGCAGGAACAAAAGGAAAAGGAAACCAAGACATTTGGCCTGGGTGGGAGGTGGGGGCTCGGGAGAGCTCTGCAGCCGAAGTCAGGAGGCTGGGAAGCCTTTTCAGAAGGAGAAAGGAAGCTGGGGAAAGTCACTGTGAGTTCGGAGGCGGAAGTAGAGGGAGTGTGAAATGTGAAGGAGGTCTAGCCCATTGTTTTGGGTTGATTTTTGCATGGAAGTAAGTATTTCAGCATAAGACAAACTTGTTCCTCAGTCTCTAAAGAGTCTCCCTAGTCTTTTAAAGTAGGTGCTACACAGTAGCAGGGGCCCTTCCCCAGAGTTCTGAGCAGTTCTGGGTGAGGGTGGGGCCAGGTCCGGTGAGTCTGCATTTCCAGCAATTTCCCTGGTGATGCGGACATTACTGGTTGGGCACCACATTTGGAGAACCCCTGCACAGAGCAGATGGATACAGTCATAGATTCCTGGCCCCATCCCAGCCACCTTGTCCCCGTCCTGGGCACCCAGTGCCTCCAAGATCATGGCCCAAGTTCTCTGCCTATCTCCAGCCCCTTGCATGACTTCTCACCCGGCCTCCCTCTCACATGCCTGTGCTGCCTAGCATGCCCACCCCCACTTTTCACATGATTAGTGTTCATGTACAAGTCAGCACTCAGGTGAGTGTCCTTCTTCAGAAAGGTCACAGCCGACATGTGGTCCCTCTGTCATGTTTTCAAGGCCCTGTACTCCCCCTTGCAGCATTTATTATGGTTTTGACCAGCTAAGGGTGTGATTGGCTGTTTCTGTGTCCTTGCCAGCCTAAAAGCTCCACGCAGCCAGGACCCTGCTGGCCGCATTCCCTGCTGGGTCTTCAGCTTCCCACATGGCATGGCACGAAGTAGGAACACAGTAAATAGGAGTTGGTGGAATGAATGAAGAGTGAATCAGGGGTGCCCGCGTGGCTCAGTCAGTTAAGTGTCTGCCTTCAGCTCAGGTCATGATCTCAGGGTCCCGGGATCGAGCCCCAAATTTGGGCTCCCTGCTCAGTGGGGGGTCTGCTTGTTCTCTCTCTCTCTCTCTCTCAAATAAATACATAAAATCTTAAAAAAAAAAAAAAAAGAATGAATCAGAATTCACAAATTGAACACCTGACATAGTTCTTAGGAGAGGTAAGTGTTCAATGCATGTTTATCCTGTGCCCCACACCCCTACCCCTCAGCTCATTCCAGGGTGGCAGGAAAGAAAGATGTTGCTAACTCTTCCTTCTGACTCTACACGTAATATGTGCTTTACAGGCGTTAACTTATTTCCCCTCATAACAGCTCTGAGGAGGTTCCATTGGTATGTGGGGAAACTAAGGCATGAGGAGGTTAAAGAATTTGTCCAAGGTGGGCACTGACTCTGCTGGTCCTTGTTAAGGGAGATGGCCCCATATTTGGAAGGATGGTCATAGCATGTTGTGTAGATAAGACTGACACGTAGATATTACTGAAAGATATGGTTGGATTCAGTGGGACAGGGGCAGGCCAATGCAGTACATGGAGACTAAGAAGCTGGAGGTGCTTGGGCATGTTCATGAGCTGCTGAATTAGCTGAGTTACAACTTTGGGTCATAGAAGGTCACGAGCTGGCCTGTGAATCATTGGGTTAGGAAGACTCTCACCACAGCCCTTAACCAGGACTGCATCTGGTGGGAGCCATGCTTCTCCTCATCACCTTATCCTAGTGCCAGTGCTGAGGCAGGCAAAGGGAAGATGCCCCACATAAAGTTGTTCGGGTGAGATGTGTGGGATTGACATGCATGGAAACAGCTGGAATGTTGTGCTTACCGTAGACCACAGCAAGGCCATTAACAGCATGGACTCTGGAATCGGCTTTTGGATTTTCAGCCTGCTTCTGTTTGACCTCGGCAAGTTACTGAGCCTCTCCACACCTCTAAATATAATGATAGCACTCCCTCCTAGAACTGTTGTAAGGCCTGGCTGGGGCCTGGAAGGGGCTTCTACAGTGCCCGCATACACTACGTCGTCCATACGTGGAAGCTGGTATTACATTATTATAAGGGATGTGGGAGCTTATATAATCAGGTTCAGTACTATTGATCATGAAAACGACATCGGAGGCTATGAGGATACCACACTCCGTTGGTAACACATGCTCAGCCCTCTGTGGTAGTGGTGCTTGAGCTAACAGTAGGGACTTATGAGGCTGAGCCTGGATGTTGCTGAAAGCTGTCTGTGGTCACGGTTGGCTGTGGATATGGGATGGGGAGAAGAGAGGTCCGTGCCATCTGACTTTCTTCCTGGGGTTCAATAATGGACACATGGTCCCGAGAGAAGAGTGAGGAGAGTGAATGACCATCTTTGAGTCATAAAAGGTTGCGGTATGTATGATGGTGGATAACTTTTCCCATTTCCTGGGGCTGAAGGGAGAGCAAAGGGAAGAAATTGGTTTCACATGGGACACTCGGAACTTGTGATGGGAACATGACCTTTTCTGACAGTGAGCCTTGTTGGACATGAAGAAAGGGCCTGAGGAAGGTGGTAGAGTCCACTTTTTCAAGAGAGTCTCTCTCCCCTATTGATGGGGCTTTGGGGATATTGTGGCCTTGAATAACCTTTTCAAGACCTTCTGACTGTAAGGCTTCATGGAGGATCAGAATAACAAAGAAGAGGAGGTAAGGGGTATCTGAGTCTTCTTGAGTCAAAGACGGCTCTTCAAACCACAGGGGGCACGATGGTGTAACATAACTTGGGCCTGCACTGTGTTGGGTGAACACAGCAGAGCTGGCTGCGTGTTCCTGCTCTCTGGTCTTGCCCTGGGGCTTCCCCTTCACCCAGGCTTTGATACATCCCCAGAGATGTCCCAGATGTGTGTTCCTCACCCTGGTGTCTGGCTCCTGCATCTGGCTCTGCAATGCCAGACCTGAGTACTTGAGTCACCGGCTGGGCCTGGAACTGGGCAGCTGGCGTCAGCGTGTGACAGTCTGCGCGCCCTGATAACCTTGAAGCGGTCCCCTTAATTTAAAACCTCAGTTCCTGTAGCTACCACTATAAAACTATCAGGTTTTTGTCAGTTTAATTCTTGCTAGGAGGCACCTACTTTCGTTTTCTTTTGGAATCATTTTATGTTTATCTCTCCTTCTTGTCACTTAGTGTGATATCATTTTTATCATTATTAATAGAACATGTAGTAGGCAGAGATCATGCCTTTTTATTTAGTCTCAGTGTAGGGCCTAGTAGAACACTAAATGTCATGAAGTCTTTTTACTCTGCTTTCCCTTCCCTTCCCTTTCTTTTCCTTCCTTCCTTCCTTCCACTCAGCCATCTTCCAGCAATCTACACACTCGTATACCCACCTGTCCATTCATCCATCTATCTATATACCCATCCCCTCCTCTCATTCATCCATCCATTTATCTACCAATCCACTCACTTATCCATTCATCCATCCATTCATCCACCCATCCACCTTTCCACCCATCCCACTACAAAGACTC